GCACCCCCGGGGAAACCCGCCCCCGCCACCCGCCGAACCACCACCGCCCTCGGTCGGCCATGGCCCCAGCCCCGCCAGGGGTGACAACCGCCCTCGGGGGGGTGGCCAAAACACCCCATTTTCTGGAAAAAACAGAAAGTGTCAGGGGCTTGGTGGCGACGGTGCGCACCCCCCTGTATATATATATATATATATATATATATATATATATATCTTCAAATAGAACTGCCCGGTAAACCGTAGGCACCCCTCGTTTGTTGTCCTCTTCTCCCTCTCTGCCTACGGTTTACCGGGCAGTTCTATTTGACGATATATATATATATATATATATATATATTTTTGGCCGGGGCCGGAGGTGTGGATCCCCGGGCCCCGGGGCCAGGGCTCGACAACGCTGGGCGAGGGAAAGAATGCAGAAAAATGAGGAATTGAGGAAGGTGGAGGAAGAATTCGTCGACATTCATCATCAAATGTTGGAGACAGCAAATAAGCTTGCACAACTCAGATATAAAATATTTGATTGTTCAAGGAAGGAGTTTTCAAATAACGGCGGTGGGGTAAATGCGACGGTTTGCACCAGCGGCAATGACACGCTGGCGGCAAGAGTGGAGAAGGAAGAGAAATTACACTTAGAAATATTTGTAATGGTAGAAGAGATTGTTGAGCTTCGTGAACAGGTCGTCGTTTTGAAAAAACAGCAGGACAATTTGGCCGTAGAAAATGATATGTTACGTTCCAGATTACGATGATTTTCTAATTGTAAAGGAAAAAGTGTTTCAGAAAACCCTTTGTCGCATACACACCCTCTTGGCCTAGTGTTATCTCTTCAAAGAGGAGTGAGTGGAGACGATAAGCAATTGCAAATGTCATTTAGAGCAATGCGAATTGCCGAAGGAGATAGCAACCGAAGGCCAAATGAGGATAAATAATATTTCGTTTGTTTTATTTGGGTAGCGATCAGTTGTGGCGGGTAATGATGATAGATTGTATAATTTAACTTCATGAGAAAATTGTTTTGTTTTTTTTTTTGTAAAATGTAAAAAAACAGTATGAAATTGTTAATCACACGGTCTGCTTGGCTTACAAGTGTAGCGTATAGAAAAGTATATCCGATCAAATGACATATTCTGAGAAAAGTTCGGTAGTTATAAAATAGTTATTTTAGTTGCAAGTATTTGACTTGTATTCTCGAGTTGTGAATATCATTGTTTGACACACCTGTTTTTCATGTGTTTTGTTGTTCGAAAATCACATGAATGATATTTTTTTTGATATGCGTCTTTAGTAAAACCAACCAGTTTTTATATGAATTTGTCTTGTTTATATTTTTTCACTTCGCATCTTTTTACGTATAAATTTTTAAATTTTTATCACTAAGGTGATCGTTTTTATTTACGTCTCGCGTTCTATTGTTTGACAAGCGAAAGACTATGGTTTTGCAATTTAAGCGGAGCAACATAACAATGCAAATACACGAATCTACTGTGGTTAATAGCTACAAACAAAGACTGCGCTACATAATTTACGCGGGCAAACTCCATAGATGTGACAAATTGCTTTACAGGGATGAATAACTGTACAGAACTGCAGACGGGGTAAAGAGAGTTTACAAACATGGATGTTGCTTTACTGGGGTGAATAGCTATACAGAATCGTCGCCCTGGGGGTTTGAGGAGTTCGCTGCAGACACGATTTATGCTTGAGGAGTTTATGTCAGTTTATTTTATTGTTTAATTTGAAAATTTATATTGTGAAGGCGGAAAGTCCGCGTTGCTGATTGATTAAACACATGCTGAATAGTAAATGAACTCTCTATGAAAATAAAATTGTTAATTGATTTTGTATTCATCTCTCTCTGTTATTCATATTGAAAATGTTAAGAAAGACATTTTGTGCATCAATAATATTGGAATGAATATAGTTCATTAAATCTCTGGAAGGAGATATGCAAAAAAGAACACAACTAAAATAATATTATGACAGTTTGTCTATGAATTTTTCTCTATTCTCAGTGGTTCTCTCTCTATTCTCTGTGGATATCTGTATGTTCATCTCTCTAATACCCAAGTGTACATCGATCCTTAGGCGGTCCTTATTGCCAGTCACTGAAGGGTGTGGGTACATGTTTTTGTGAGGCTTCATGGTCAGTGGTTTGCTCGCTGATGTTTGGTGGACTATCTATTTTGGGCTACGGGTTATAGTTTAGTCCTTAAAGCTATGTGTCACAGGTCTGAGTCAGAGTGTTGGTCACAGGCCAGCTGGCCATGACTTGATTACAGGTGTGGTCGTGATGCTTTCAGTCAACTAACCTATATAGATTTGCTGGTCTAAAGGTCTGTGTCAGGGTTAATTGATATAGTTTCGGTTAATTGATATAGTTCGGGTTGAGGGTCACAGGTCTATGAGTGTCTGCATCGGATATTTAGCCTTGGACATAGTTCAGGTTAAGGATCACCTCGCAAGTTGAGGGTCACAGGTTGAGGGTCACAGGTCTATGAGGGTCACAGGTTAATTGATATAGTTAGCCTACGGATATTTAGCCTTGGATATAGTTCAGGTTGAGGGTCACAGGTTAACTCTATGAGGGTCACAGGTTGAGGGTCACAGGTCAATTGATATAGTTAGCCTACGGATATTTAGNGATATAGTTCAGGTTGAGGGTCACAGGTTAACTCTATGAGGGTCACAGGTTGAGGGTCACAGGTCAATTGATATAGTTAGCCTACGGATATTTAGCCTTGGATATAGTTCAGGTTCAGGGTCACAGGTTAATTGATATAGTTCAGGTTGAGGGTCACAGGTTAATTGATAAAATTCAGTTGTGTCAGGGTTAATTGATATAGTTAAGGTTGAGGGTCACAGGTCTGTGAGTGTCTGCATCGGAGGTCTGACCTTGATTACAGGTGTAATTGTTGTCGGGGCAGAAACCCTGACAAGGGTATCTGCCCGTGTTTTTCAACGTCGGACGCTGTCTGACTTTTTCACTAAACTGGAGGACTTGATGAGATTGACGTTGCCAAAGTCTATTCAGACCGGCGCTATGACTGAGAGACCTAAATTTTTGAACCTGACGTCGTCGACGCAGGACGACATCGACGTACGTGCGGGATAGCGGGAGTCGGCACTGTCATCCGCGGTTTTCGACGAGGCCGCAGTAGTGTGCGGTCATGGGAAAACTAAAGTTAAAACCTAGTTTACCTGTAATAAGGTCGAGCGGTTGTTAAGCCGCGCGATTCAGACCCTAAAGTGGGCTAAAAATGGGTCGCGGCGGTAAGGTTGGACCGCGACGTGAAGGAATGGTCTAGGATCCATAGGGCTTTTGCGCCGAGGACCAGGGGCGAAGTCGTCGGGGTCGGCTAGGTAGGGCAGTCATTAAGCCTGTCAGTTGTCGATCCTGCCTGCCAGCCACAGTGGTGAGCAGGCTAGCAGGCACGGCCTGCTAGGCGCTGATACGGGGCCTGCTGGGCGTTGAAAGCCCTTCATATAGAAGGGTCGCTCCTTTCCTGATGTAAAAAGGAGCTAGCCTAGTAGGTACCATCGCTAGATTACCACCCCACACACATGGGGATCGAACCTCACAAACTGCACTACCGGGCTAGCTCCTTTTGGAGCAACCCAAAGTGTGAGGATGGGCGCGGCCGATTTTCGGTTGTGCGATCTTTGAGAACGCGCGGCTGAAATCAGCCGCACCGAGATAGCATGGCCCCTGTGTGAAGATGACACGCATAGGCCGAGAAATGGTCCGAATTTTTTCATTTTCTAAAAAAAAAAAGCTAGGTTGTTTTACCGGACGTCCGAGACCCTTGGGTTGTCCGACCGGACGTCTGGTCGGACGTCGGGTCGGACGTCGGACGGTCTCAGACCGGACAAGGGTTGTCCGACCTAGCGCAAAAAAAAAAAAAAAAAAAAAAAAAAAAAAAAAAAAAAATTGTTGTTTTGAAAAACATCATGTGGCTTCTACCTTGCATAAGGTGTATGCCACCAAAATTTTGGCTCATTTAAGCCAGTAGAAAAAAAGATAAAAATCTTCAAAGTTTCTAATCCCCACCTATACCCCTCCTATCCCCACCAAAACCCCTCGTACCCCCCCCTCCCCCCCCAAATAGCACCCTATCAGCAAATGCTCAGAAAATTCTGAATTTTTTTTTGGGGGGTCTCTATGGCATACGCAAAACTTTCATAATTTTTTTTTTTTTTTTTTTTTAATGCCAAAAAGTGGTTGTCCGGGATCCCGGACAACCCCCCTACCGGACGGTTGTGGGAGACGTCCGGCCATCGGACGACTGGTAACCTAGAAAAAAAGAGAAAACTTACCTTGCCCGTATCTGAACGCCTGAGCGCCTAGGTACGAGCTTCAGCAAGGACACCAGGGCAACGTCGTGAGGTAAGTCCTGTCTTTTTTTTTTCTTTCTTATCTCTTTTATTATTATTATTTCTTGTTTGTGTGGGTTGCTTCTCGTCTGCTTGTGCCACTAAGGCGAAGCGACAAGACCGTTGGCATAAGCCAACGGCAAGACAAAAAAAAACCACAATATAAGAAAAAAAAACTAAAAAGTTAGAATCTAGCGCGCACGCTGGCGCGCGATGAAGTGACTAGGAACTCATAAATTCCCAGTAGTGTTGCAGGCGCCCGTTGGAAACGGGCAGCCACGTTTAGGAGGGGTTTCTTCTTTTCTTTTTGGGTTTTGATAGATTTTGCTTATATTTTTTTTTTACATTTCGTTTTTTTATTTGGTTAGATTTTTTTTTTATGTCTTCTTCTTTCTTTTTAGTACCCGTTCGTTTCAAACGAACGGGCAGACATGATTGTGCCCAACTGTTTCGTCGGATTTCCACCGACTCATTAGGAGGCTGGGCCCCGACAGTTGGGCAGGCAACTGAATCACCCGCAGGAATGCGGCTATATGCGGGATTGTTGATGGGGGCTCTTCAGAGAGAGAGAGAGGAGAGAGAGAGAGAGAGAGGAGAAAGAGAGAGAGAGAAGGTGGCAGCAGGACAGGCAGCGCCCGTTCATTTTGGAATGGGCAGCCCTCCTGAGTTGCGCGCCTGTATCAGGCACTTATTTTGTGCCAAATGCGGGCGCGGGGCATAAAGAAAAGGAAACCCTTTTGGACTGGACAGTGGGACTGCTCAGAGGAGGCAGGAGGGGAGCTCGTTGGTTTTCAAACGGCGAGCTACCCCTGAGTTAGACAGGGAGAGAAGAGTAACGGCCACGAATGTGGCTGCAGGGGTAGATTGGATACATGAAGAAGAAGAAGAAGAAGAAGAAAGAGAAGGGAAAGGTAGGAAACGTGATCGCGACGCAGGCCCAGATGCAAGGTTAGAGGCATCTGGGCTCTGATGAGACAACAGACTATTGGTTTCAATAATCTGGTGCAAATGGCTTGGTACAACCATTTGAAGACTGCGTCTGGCCACGAGTGACGGCCAGATGCATTGCCAGGGCTTAGGACTTGGTTCCCCTAGGGGGAACATCAAGTTTCATGGCCCTTTATTGCGATTTGGATCAAGGGTCAGGCCCTGTTCCGAGATTTGGCTGGGGGCAAAGCAGCTGCCCTCAGCCTTCAGCCAGCTATAAAAGCCAGCCTGCTACCCAGCAGCCTCACACTTGTGGCAATGCTGCTGGGGCATTCTACTTGAGTAGATGCTGGCTGGCTGGCTGCTGGTGTAATGAGGTGAAGTGCTGGTGGTCTGCAGAAGCACTTGGAGGAAGGAGGAGGCAGCCATAGCTAGAGGCTGGGAGCTTCTTGCCCCACCTTTTCTGCTATGCTGCAGGCTGTGGGGGAGCCGTGGCCGTGAGGCTGTAGCTGGATTGGACCGTGCGGCAAAGGGTTCCGACGGGAAGGTGCTGCCCGAAAGTCGACACGCGGCAAAGGTTTTCTTTGAGAAGGAGGTTGCGCCGCTGTACTTTTGAAAGGAGGTGCTGCCGAATTTTTGCAGCGACAGCACCGGGTTAAGCCACGGTACGGCGGAAGAGCTGCCAATTTTTTTTGGCAGCAACACTGGTCTTCTTGGCAGTACGGCGGAAGCACTTCCGAATTTTTTCGCAGCAGCACTAGTCTTTTTGGCGGTACGGTGGAAGCGCTGCCAAAGTTTTTCGGCAGCGGCACTAGTCTTCTTGGCGGTCCAGCGGAAGCGCTGCCGAAAATTTTTCAGCAGCAGCGCTGGGTTACGGCAATAGTGCGGAAGCACTGCCAAAATCTTGCAGCGGTGGCATTGGGAGCTTGACGGTAATGCATCGGCTGCCGGGGTTTCACAGGTGGAAGCGACAATGTTATTGGCATTGAATACATATACGGTGGCTGGACATCAGTGCAGGAGGAGTGTTGTTAAGGTAGTGGCGTGTTTTGGAGCATTGGAAACGTGACGCTGCTGTAGCTTGGTGACAATGGACGCAAGTAACATGGTTGGCGACTGTCACGAGGGAATGGTGTGGATCACCTTGTGATTGACTTTGTGTGATGATCTTCTCGCTTGAGGGCGTTTTGACATACTTCACCTGCGCGATTTTGTCAAGGCCGTGGTTATTTTTTTGTAGCGCGTTGAGTAAACGAGGATTGAGTTTGAGACCACCACATATTGTGGCGGTAGTGTGGAACCATCAGGGACCACTCTGGGACCAAGTGAATGGAGAGTAAGGTTGGGAATAAGTGCGGTGGCACGCGTATGGTGATCTCACCTGGTATTTGGTGGGGTTTGGATTAAAGGTTGAGGTGGCGTTGTTGTTTGTGAGAAAAGTGCCGCTGAGACTGTAGTGAGACTGTGTGGGACCTAAGAGTGGGGGCACCCTCCTCAAACGGCGAGCTCGCTTCTGTTTTGGTGAGCGGCGTCTGGGTCAGTGGTGGCACTTGAAGGAGGGTGTGGTTCATCCTTGTGAGCGGCCACAACGAGAGTTGTGCGGCCGAACTTTTCTTGAGAAAATATTCGGCTTTCTTGAGTGAGCCTTCATTAAATTCACTCAAGGCCAGTTGTGACTCAGTTTCCTTTGCACACCCGCGTGAACCCACACCTTGCATGACCTTGCTTTGAATTCAGGGGAAAAGGTAGAGCAAGTGTGGGATGTCATGCATGTGGAAAAAGGGGCTGACTTTGGTTGGGGGATCGATGAATCCTTGGATTGTATCTTTTCTTGATTGTGCAGGTGGATTGGAGGGTACATACGGGAAGGAATCAACATTGTTTGCTCGAAAGAATAATGGGGATGCTTACCTTTGTTCCACTCAACCTGAATGCATGTGACAAAAAAAGGGAGAAACAATAATAATAATAATGGAAGTGCAAACAGACGGTTGCCGAAAGAACGAAAGTCGTGGAAAAATTAAAAAAAAAGAAGACAAGGGAATACCTTAGTATCTTCCCAAGGATTTTTCCATTCTATCCCGAACGACCACTTTCTTTTTATGCCCGTCTAACAGTATCTTACTTCTTTGTTTTCTTGATTCGTTTAAATCAACCCTTAGCTTGGAGGCATTGAGCAGTCGCCCGCACCTAAAGCTCAGGGTTTCTTCTCTCTAGGAGGCATCTGAGGCAGGGGTTCGTTGCCTTAGGGGCCGGCCCTGTTATCGACTCGGAGCGGACCGCTTATGCGGGGGGATACCATGCTGTTGTGGTGGAGCCAACCCAACTTTTGAGTCCTGAACAATGCGTTCGGGCGAGGGGGAGAGGTATTCCAGACCACTTCCTAGAGGGTAGGGCGTTTTGAAGCTAAGAGCAGTCGCCTCCCCGTGCTCTCAGGAAAAAGGGGGGCCGAGTCTAGTACCCTGCTCGGTGGCCATTTTAGGAGCCACCAATGCGTGGGAGGGCTGGCGCCACAATAGGCCCAGCCCGTGCTTCGACTAGTGTTAGAAAAAAAAGTGCAAGTAGACAGTACTTTCATGGTCGGACTGTGACACAAGAATCACGACCCGAAAAGGAGAATGAAAATTGGACATGAAAATTGATATATCTAAATTTATTTTGACAAAGTTACTGCTTCGTCGTTCAGATGCTTGAGGGGGCGGTGATCCTCCGATTGTTCAGCACACGTGAGGCGGCGGCCGATTGGTTAGCGGTGCCGACACGATCCCGCGCCGGCATGATACGGAAAGGAAGGCTGGTATACAACCCACTTGAAGTTTTCCTGGAACGGGATGTGCCACGATTCTGGGACAGGAGCGTGAGGAAACCACCGCAGACCGTTATTTTCTTGATTGAGTCAGGTCAACATATTATGCGATATGATTTTGCGTCTCCGAATCCATCACGGGATTACGGAGACATGAACCTCGTTATGATTCATGAAGAGTGTCCAGGTATAGAGAGCATTCTTGAGGTTAGAGGAATGTTTCTGTACATTGCACTTTCGCTAAAATATGTTATTCGTTAAAATAGGACATTATACTGTGTCCTCTTTCTAACGAATTCATTTTTGGCTGCATTCCAAGCAACGTAGGCACGCTCATCCACGGCTTAAGTACATGCAGAGTGTGCTGAGATCCGTACTTGTGAAACTTTATAAATGATATCCCAAATGAGGAAGCGTGTTCAAACCCGTACATGTTAGGCACGCCGCACGGGAACCTTGGAAGTGTGCAATTTTTCTTACTTGCTGAACTTCAAAAACATGGCACTGCTGGGAATCCTGTGCGGAAGTGTGCTGGGATCCGTACTTGTTAAACTTCATAAACGAATAACGACAGGCACGCCCATCAGGGAACCCTGTGCGGAAGTGTGCTGGGAGCCTTACTTGTTGAACTTCAAAAATGTGTTGTGAATCTTGTGCCGAAGTGTGTCGGGATCCGCACTTGTTAAACTTCATAAACGAATAACGACAGACACACGCATCAGGGAACCCTGTGCGGCAGTGTGCTGGGATCCGTACTTGTTAAACTTCAATTCCATAATTGTGACGAGCAATATGTCATGATTGCATCCTCGTTGGATAATTATATTAGAAGACGTAGAGTAGCGATAGGCACGCCCATTCGGGATGCCTGTGCGATAGTGTGTCGGGAGCCACACTTGTCAAACTTCAAGTTTGTGAATGTGATGAGCAAGTTGTCATGATTGAATCCTCGTTGGATAATACTATTTATTTCTTTTATGCGTGAGTTGTACATGCATGGCTATCGTCTCGTCCGAGGCGGTTGTCTGGATGTTGTAGAGATTCAGACTTCTTTAGAAGTACAAACAGTAACTGTTATTTTTGACATACAATTTATTTTTCCCGGTCAAGAACACAAAATTGTCGGTCACATGTAATTCAGGCGGTCACAAGTACATGATTGTCTATTCACACAAGAGACGTGATGTCACTGGTCTTTCACTCTTTGCATAACGAACCTCACACCCACACACTCGCCGAGATTTGTCTTGCATCCACACTCCAATTCGTCATGTCGCACCACACACACGAATATCATTTCGAGGTGAATTATATGCACAACCTTGGATGACCTGGACACAATTTGCAACGAGGACTGCAATGCGATGAATGTAATGACACGACAGACAAGCCGGACCTTACAGAGATTCCGAAGGCAATACGCGACACCAAACTGACAGTCAACATACCAAAGACAACTCAAACCCGCAACACTGAAAGAAAGTAATGTCGTTGTGAAAGCGACAGTTAAAATATGAAATATTCTTAAACAGAAGTTTGCAAATCAATCGAATCCATCAAAGACAACGGCATTCCAAGACACATGATGCCAATTGTCGTCTAATATACGGAATATTTTTACAAGAGAACCGGAAAGGCGGTCGATCGCCACGTTGCAACAGTGTCGCAAACATTAACATAAACACCCCGCAACTAACTCCATCCACTTGTCTTGGAACTCCCTCTATAACAACATTTGTTGCCACCGACTTCCAGCGCCTGCACGAGCGCCTATGTGATGTTTCACATTCCAAATAGTGTACGATCAACTCGAAAACACTAAGGTAAAAACTAGAATCGGCTACAACGCAAGGAAAAGAATCGAAAATCTCAAAACCATTATCTCTCAAGCTCATGGAAAGGATGATCCAATGATCATTATCTTTGAGGACTAGAACAAAGATAATATCATATTCAAGCAGATCCACGTTTTTAGCCCATCTTTCCACCCCGCCGTGCCCTTGAAGTTGCAGTTTACTGAAGAAGAAAGAATTAAAGGTGAAGACTCGAAGGCCTGGCRGGATGTCACTTGTCCCATATGCGGTCGTTCCTAATAGCGCCATGTAGAAGTTGACCACCTCATCATTCACCCTGCCGTCGGTAAGTGAGAGGGTGAGAATATCCTTCGCTGCAATTCGCAATTGACCATCGTGGAGGGTCGAGAGTACAGTGTCAGGTGGCACCAAGCCTCATTCAATGTCGTCCAAAACCCGCAAGCTTCCAATCGCAGTCACTGCTGTTCCAGGTGTCGTGGCCCGCACTGCACAACATCGAGCGAAGGACAAGGGGGGAAGTGAGAAACGGAACACTAAGGATTCTCCTTCATCGCACGACGAGAAGCTAAGTATTTCTCATACATGGCCTGACCCCTAGTCACAGATCGTGGATATATCCCTTTCTCTGGACGCAGAAGGGAAAGACACTCCTCAATGGCAATGGCATGCTCCTTCCCGATTTCGACATCAATCCCTAATGCCTTTAACATGTTCTTGTGTTTTGTCGTCAACCCCGGGACTGTATGCAGTATGTGTTCCGGATATTTAGAGGGTCTCCGTGTTCGAGACGACCCTACCCCTGTACAACAGAAGAAAGACAAAACGGAAAGTGAATACACGTTTCCTAAGAAGAACCCGACGAAACGACAATTGATGGACCACGAAATCTAAAAGACGCAGGACCCATGCAATTACAGAACCCCGTCATGCCATGAGAGTGCGAGAGAGAGAACTTCCGCACAAGCCACGTTGCAAAACAAAACGAGCAGTGCACTCGAGCTCGACACCCCCGCCCTTCAGAAGGAAAAAGCACATCAAGTCACAGAAGCAGAAGGCAAACATCTCTGAAGTCCGGATCCCGGCGGACTTTTCCAACCCAGGGAGATGACCCAACCCCTGTGCAACTGAAGGAAGAGAAAACGGAAAATGAACTAACGTAATACAAGACGAACCCGACGAAAACGACAACTCAAGAACCACGAAATGTAGAGGACGCAGGACCTATCTATTTACAAAGCCCCGTTTAGCCATGAGAGAGATAGAGAATACTTCCGCGCAGGCCCCGCAGGAAAACAAAAGGAGCAGTGCGTTCGACCTCGACACCCCCGCCCTTCAGAAGGGAAAACCTCAACAAGTCACAAACCCGGAGGCCAAACATTTGTGAAGTCAAGATCCCGGTGGACTTTTCCCAATCGAGGCACCAAAAGAGTAACCTCGTTACGCAGCGGCCTTGGCAGTGCGGATCCCGGCGGACTAAAACCACCACTCATTCCGAAAGAGAAACACCATCCTTCCATTATGTGAGGGAACGCTTCAACAAAAACACACATGTTTTTGTCTCGTGCGCATTGACAGACACTGCGGTCACTGGCGCGCAGACAGAGTGGCGTTTGTCACTGCTTACCAGCTGGTTTGTCTCTTCGCTCCTTAATTGGGGAAGTTGGCGCGGGCAAGGCCAGCACGTCGAGAGCTCGAGTGCCGGCGACAGTTTTTTTCGGGGATGTGACTTCTTGTCGTCCCCCGATCCCACGTTCTCCTCCGCTGGCGATGGTCGGCCGCAGCATCGGAGAGCTTGTCGGCGAGAAATCGACGACAGATCCCCCGGAAGGTTTGACGTCGAGAGGGTCGTCGACACCAGGCGTCGAGGATGGCTGCGCGGATATTTGGTGGTCGCCCAGGATGCCATCGATAACTTCTTCGATGTCAATACGCACACTCGGTTTAGTCAGGCTGACTGCTACACGAGCTTCGTTGAACCGATGTTGGAGATCGACGGCAGACGTCATTGCTTGGACCTCATAGTCATCACGTTCTGCCGAAAGGCTTGTGACCACTTGTGTCTCCATACCCAGTGCCGTGTCATCGTCGTCCTCGTCTTCCTCGCGGTGTTCTCCGTACAGCTGCCCGAATCCGTCAGAAGACTCCCCAGATCTGTCATCGTCGTCGCCGAAAGTCCATTCGTCGTCTCGTGTATCGAGTTCACCTTTTCCCCCCTCCTGCCCTCCTAGCAACCCAGCCAATTCCGTTTCTTCCCCTTCCTCTCCTTCATCCTCTTCTTCCTTCCCTTCATCCCTTCCTTCCTCCAATTCCTCCCCTGTGTCTCCTTCCTCCACTTCCTTCTCTTTGTCCATCACCCTGCCTTCTTCCCTTGCATGCAATGCAGCCACTTCGCCTGAACCCATGTCGATTCCCGATGAATGCGCTTCCCGCCCACGACACGCAGCCCCTCCTGCCTGCACCAATATCCCTGGTTGGCCCCCCTTGCCTGAAGATGTTCGGATCCCGGCGAACTTCGCCGACTCCCTGTCGATGGGCCCTCCACACGCCTTGCCTGAAGAAGTTCGGATCCCGGCGAACATCGCCGTCTCCCTGTCGCCGGGCCCTCCACACTCCTTGCCTGGAGAAGTTCGGATCCCGGCGAACTTCACCGTCTCCCTTTCACCGGGCCCTCCACACGCACCCTCACGCTCCGACCGAAGCGGTTGGCGATCCCCCGCAGGCGGCGAAGTCCCGTCCCTCACCGCACCGCTGTCTATTTTGGGATGACGACTCGCCCCCCCGGTCCTGACCAGCTCTACGCGTCCGTCCTCTCTGTCTGCTCTGCAAGTATTGAAGTTCAGATCCCGGCGGACTTGAACGTTTCGATCGAGCCGGCACGAAGAGCAACCAAGGCCGCCATCACCGAGCAGGCGGATGAACTGGGCACGTCCTCCGACTATGCCAAGCATTCCGGACCGGGACCGGTAGACTGCTGACGCCCGAGGGCCTCCCCCGCCACCCCGCCGCTGCCTTTGGCTGTCGTGGTGTCGCCCTGAGACCCGCCCTCAGCCTCGTCGCCGTCTTGTTGTCGCCCCGGGACTCGTTTGCCGCCCCCAGCCTCGTCGCCCTCGTTCTCCCCACCTTCCGGTCCCCGGGACCCTGTTCTTACATGCGTCCCACTGGGAGGGGGGATTTTCCAGTCCACCCTTCCTTTCGAGGRGCTCGTGTCRAGGTCGTAGTAGTCCTCCGTCARCTCCAACCAGCACTTGTCCTGAAGTTCGRCGAACAATCGCCCGRCTGTGGAAATGACRGACACGTCTTCGGGTKYGAAAGAGCCATTCTCGGCCCTCACTTTCTGGAGGACCGCAATTCTAGCAACGTCGAGGAAGTCAGACTTCGACCCGCGAGGGAGTGGCATCCATCCTCCGTCCGGGACAGCGACCGCCACGATTCACTCACCCTTTTGGATCGCCGGCTGAATGACTCCTGGATGCCAAATCATGTCATGGCCCCAGTCCGCCTCCGTGGAATGACTTTGAGGCTCAGGCAGGAAGTGAATGTTGGCATTAGTCCAAGACAGATGATCGGGCGGGATGTCAGACCCAGGACGCAATGAGCGATGGTCGGAGGTCAGAGCTTGCATTCTCTGCAGCAACTTCATCGGGGTAGTGCCAGGCGCCGGTTTCGCCATCGGTGACACGAGGGATGCCAGGCTTGTCGACGGACCTGCCAAGGACGACCCTGTACCGTGCTGCGCGGAATGTTGGTCGTACTGCAGGTCGAGGCTTTCGGTGTCGCTGCCCTCCTCGTCCGCGGTCGCGTCGAACTCGATGCCGGGTCTCCTCGTCTTCCGTGGAGATCAAGGAGGAGTAACTGCCGAACGTCAGCTCCTCCTCTGACTCCACGAAGTAAAGGGACTGCAGCCTCTCGATTAAGGTCTTCGCGTTCATGCGGGAGGCGCCGTGGTAGTTGTCGAGCAACGTGAACATGTGGTCCTTGCGGCACACGTACTCAGCGTCGGTGTCTCTCTTCGGCCGCGTTTGCAGGAACAAGAAGTCGTATATCTTGTTCCGCTTCCTCACACTCAACTTGAACCACATGTCCATCTTGTTGTTCCACGCGCGAGCCCGAGTCTCGGTGACGACCATGAACTCGCAATTGTGGGCACCCGAATTGACCTCGCTTTTGACGAGATCAATTGTAAATTGCAAGAGCTCGGAGTTCCCTTCCATCGCGATGACGTGCCGTCCTGCCTTCAGTACTTCCCAGACTCACCGCGCGTGTGGCTTCCCGAGGAAGACGACACCCTCCCCCTTCTTGGTGATGGATTCGAGAAGCTGAACGAATTGGGTGGGGTTGCGTTTCATGTCCCCGTACATAATGGCCCGACGTGCAGGCGAGGTATGCGACCAGTCGCAAGCGTGGAATGGGATGTCGGACACATCCGTTTGCGTAACCTTCTGTGGTACCCGCACTGCAGCAGCGGCGCTTGCCGACAGTTTCCCCTCGTAGACGACGGACGTGTTGGCCCGCAAATCGTCGCCTTTGAAGAGTATGTACATCCGGTCGTCTTCCGTGTACAAATTGTTCCCGATGGGGAAACTTTTCTTCTGTTGACTCCTCCTCGCCCACTTCCCTTCCAGCAGCTTGACGAAAGAAAGATGGTTCATGCTGGCCAGAAAGGAGAGGTTTTGCTACCGCGGGACAAAAACAACGAGCGTCCAATGTGACGGACACCACGTCTGGAGTTGGGAATTCAGAGTGTCGAACGCTTGCGGTTTCCAAAGCTTCAGGTCCACCGGTTCGCACAGATCGAGGACGAACGTGTGACTCTTTGTGGCAACCACTGCCTCCTTCACCTCTGCACTCCGTATGTCTGCCTCCAAGGGGTCGTTGCCGAATGGCACGATGGATGTCACGTCGCCCGTGTCATTCCATTTTATGTGCACAATGCCTTCGACGAGCGCGATCTCTCGACTCTTCAGTCTACTGCCAGTCAACACGGACAAGACCTTATTCCTCCAGTCGACGGACAGCTTCTTGTGACCGGCCAGCTTCTCCATCGCCTCTATCGATATGTCGTCGTCGCAGTCCATGTAGGGCAGGCAGTCCTTGAACAGCGAGGAGTCAGTGACGTATTTCGTGCTCCCGTCCCACAACTCAGCATCCAAACCACGACTCTCAAACTGTCTGAAAATTGCAGACCTTGATTTCAGGAACGGGAACCTCTGGCTCCAATCCGCGTCCGGCCTTTTGTCGTGCTTGAACTGGTAGTAGTTCCACAGACACACCAGCACCCGGTCGCACTTCACCAAATTCACCACCTCCTGGACGCTCAGCTTTCCGAGCTTCGCCAACGCTCGGGAGCCAGCCTGTACCCAAACCACCTCGCAAGCGAGCACCTTCTTCAGGACGCAGCACTTCTCGTTGTCTGTCAGCGACTCCATCGTTTTCCAACAAATGCGCGTCCGGCTCTGGCACTTGCACGAACCACTCGCCCTCCTCTTTCTCCTTTTTGCCTTTCTTCGACGGCGGGTCCACAGGGACGTTGTACACGACCTCCTTCCTTCCCAACTTGTCATTATGGATGTATGCAACCCCAGGCTTCACGTTTTTGACTTTCTTCTTCCGCATGATCCACTTTGCGCCGTCGTGTCCGAGCAATCTGCCTGTCTCCCATTTCTCGAAAAACTCGACGACCAGTTTCCAGACGTTTTCCTCCGCCATCGCCAGCGGTAAATAGGAACGCAGGGTAGCACCTTGTTTCCTGATGGTCTCCTCGCCCTGCTGATCTGCGAGAATCCACAAGTTGTTGTGCGGTGTCATGTTGAGTGCGACATTACAGAATTCACGCCACTTCCAGACCTGATCCTGTTTTCCGATGGGGTTCCCCATAACAGCACGTGGGCAACCGGCGCGCTTCCACTGCCATCTAATGTCCCTCATTGACAGCTTCAGTTGTCGTGGGGGCGCCTTCAGGTCCTTCTTGTTGTCCTGGGAACTGACAAGGAAGTACCCTTCGAAGTCGTCATTCGAAAAGTAGACCATTCGTGCAGGCCACCGCTCGAAATTGTATTTCCTGGCCACCTCGCTGCCGAGCAGCGACCTCGCTGCAGCCGCGTTGTGCTGCCCACACACCGCGTAGTAGTAGTATTGTCCCGCCAGCTCATCCCTCCAATCCTCCGGTCTCAGACGTTCTGCTTTGGTCCCCGGAGTCGGTTTATCAAGCCCTAGCGGTGCCAGTTTCAGGATTGGTAAATCGTAAGACTGCGCTTTGTTTTCGAACGCCAACCGCATCGCTTCTTTGATCCCTTCCACGAGCACGGGATCCAGGGACCGCTGGTTGTACAGGTCCTCCCAGTCCCCGAGGTCGACGACCTGCGCAGGGCTAATGTCGAACTCCCGCTTTGTCCGAACGCCGTCTTTGTACTCGGGGAAGTACCCGGCGTCGACGTCGATGGGAGTCCCTGTTGTCAGTGGAGAAGACGGTCCAGACTCAGGCTGCTTCTGTCTCGAAGACGGTCGTTTGGCAACCTGCCGGCCCTGCTCCCCCTCGGTCCCCTTGCGTTTCTCCCCCGCAGTCCTGGGGGGCTTGCTCTTTAACTTCTTCGTAGGACCGGCGAACTCGTCTGGACGATCCCCCCTCCTCTTTTGCGGAGCTCCTTGCGAGCCCAGGCCTCCCGCGTCCACCTCCTCCACACCCTGTCCCTCGCTCGCCTCCAAGTCGACCTCCGAATAGGCCGCCACCTGTATTGCAGGCCCCGTACTCTTCCGCTGAACTGGAGCATCAGTCTGAACCCCAGGAATAGACAACACAGACCGCCGCGTGTCACTCAACGGCGGAGCAGTCCCCTCATCCTCGCTGTCATTGAACTGACCTCGACTCTCGCCACGATGCAGCTGAGTGGCGGGACCAGAACCCAGATCACCGCCCTCCGCCCCTGCCCCGCTTGACTCGCAACCGCTGCACAGCTTCAACGGCAACGACAACTCCAGGGATGGGTTGACGTCGCAGGGGACATCTAGAGCGATGTTTTTGTCCTCCAACATGTCGAAAAATTCACGCGCCAAAACAAAACCGCCCCTGAGAATGAGTTCTCTGTAGAACGGGGTGTTCACAGCACCCGCTCCGAACCCCTCACACAATTCGAGGTCCAACAACGTCCCTTTCGAATTGGCAACGACGTTGCCCTTGGCGCCATAAACTTTCTGCATATAGAAATGCCACCGGCCCCCCTTTGCGTCCTCCCACCGCAGGACGGCACCAAGCACTCTACGCCTTCTGCTTTCATCGATGAAGATGACAGGACCACATGGCTGCGCAGTGGGGTTGGAAGCGTCTCCACAGCACCAGTCGATGAACCATTTCGACCTCGAATGGTTCGACCACCCCTGCGTGGCAGTAGACGACCGCCTCGTGGAATCTTTTCGTGATTCCTTCCCGGAGGTCCCTGTTGGTTCCACCTCGCCCTTGGAAGAAGTCATACTGTCTGCGAACGACAACGCAAATCGAACAGCACACCATGAAGTCAACGTCTGTCAAAACACAGGAGAAACAGAGCACTCGCTGCCGCACGTCAACGCAGGCTGCAGCGCAGCGAAAGCCGCACACGAAGACACCTGGGCACCCAAATCCGGAACGGTGAGAAGGGGTAGTCCGTCGGGATCCGAACTTCAAGCAGGCAAGAGACCGAGAGGCAGACAGAGAGAGAGAAGCAAGTGAAAACTCGCAGTGCGCATGGATCACGCGCTGTTTATGCGGCACACGGGGCACCCCAAAGAACAAAGACAGACAAACGCACAGTGAAAATCGCGAAGTCCGCCGGGATCCGAACAAAAGGACGGTGCGTGAGATAGAGACGGCGGAAGCAGATTTCGGGAATTTTTCGCAGGAATCAACTGGCGGTCATGTTCGAAGCTCGCGCTCGACGGGGTAGTGTTCCCGACAGTCCAACAGTCGAAGCTCGCCGAGAGTCAAACTAGAACAGAGAGGCAGCCATGCAGCCAGCGTCCCAGAACCGTGCTCGACCAAACACACTCCGGAACCGTTGTCGGGCGGGTTGTGCAACCCACCCAGAACCACGAAGACTCACGACAAAGCAACGCACCTCCCGAAACGTGAAGTTCGCCGGGATCCGAACTTCAGAACGATGCGACAGGCAGAAACGGCGTCTCGGATCCGCAAGTCTAAGGTTGTTAAACTCAAACCCGACCCAGGAAGGCCACACCGGAATGAAAGGCTGGTTGAAATGGAGGAGTCCAAGGACCTACGAAATGTTGACACGGCTGTCGCTTTCGAGCTTGGATCCATCCAGTGCCAAGCTGTGCATAACGCGAGATCGGAAATTGGAGTAGTTCGAATTAGGGCGGACTTTGGCTGTTGCCGGAATCCACGAGGGATCCGGAAGACCACCGTCTGTGGCAATAGACAGGCAACTTCTGAAGTTCGCCGGGATCCGAACTTCAGGAGGACGCGAGAAAGAGAGACAGAGAGAAACATTGGAGCAACTCCGAGTCCAAACGCAAGACGCTGTTCGACCAAGGCGCACGACGAAAAACCCCGGGGTTCCGCAGCCGACCGCAGGTTTCGATGGCAACAGTCATCGAGTCCCGGCGTAATTGGTAGCAAGACCGTTTCCGACTCCGCTCAGCACTCGAAGCTCGGAGGCCGGTAGGACGCACAGGCCAAACCGCGAAGTTCGCCGGGATCTGAACTTCAAGAGGGCGCGACACGGAAAGAGACGGCGTGCACTAGCAACTGCTGCCTCCCGCACCTTTCTCCACTACTAAAACTTTGCTATGTTCGGCAGCACACAAGCCTCTCACTCGTCTCCCTTCTTTTCGCTTAAGCAGTATGTCCAACCACACGTCAAAATCTTGTGACAATCGCGGTTCCTCGGGGACGAGGTCGCGAACCGTAGCCATACAAAGCATTCATTGACGATCCGTAAACGCGGACCAGCGGATCGTCGACCGTTGCAGTTTGCGAAAAGACGGACATGTATTTCATCCTAACAAACACTCCCAGTCGTGCTAAGGAGTTCCCTATACAGTCCCATATAGCGGACACTTTTTCCTCGACCTCCCTAAGCAACAAAAAGTTTTGGACCGGCCCTACTATAACCAAATCTCACCACCCATCTACACGTTCAGGCCCGGGCGTCGGCACGAATTAGGACCCCTCAATTACCACCTCGTTGCGTGATACAAGCACAACTGCATCGACGAGTTTCCTGCTCTTGTTCGACACAGTGACACATAGAACTCTGGCGAAATCAGACCGGACACAGTCAATCGCACACAACAGTATGACACAACTTGTGGGGAATTCCCGGGGCACCGGAGCGGGTACTGGCCCAGGAACGAGCAGTGACGAGCGCAGTCCAGCAACTCTTGTTTCCGCGAGCCTCCCCAAGTTCATGGCGACGAGCTGACATAGTGGCATTTGAGGCGGCTGAAATGGCTAATGCAGCCCAGTGCTCTGCGCATGTGGTTCAGGAACTTGTGTCCGAGGACAGCGTCAGACAACGGGATGAGGTTCCCGAACTCCAACATGTTGGCGAATTTGTACTGGCTTGCCCAAGGGCATCGACTCTCCATCGTGGCCCAATTCCCATCGCACCAATCGTCAATATGCGCGTCCCTGCATGGGACGACAGTCATCCAGGGGTCCTCGTCGAAGTCCTCTGCGGTCGCTCCGTGGATCGTAGTCACACCGTTGAAATGCCGCACTGATCTCACGCAAGGAGGAAACGGTTCTGCCAAGCGAATGTGCGTTTCGGGACTCATGGTTTGTGGTGTCGAGAAGATYGACTCAAAGATTCGTGGTGTCGAGAAGGTCCCATCCATTACGCGCCCTACACACCACGCGCACATACCAAACGACACACACGGGGACGCTGACACTCGTAAACATAGTTGGCGAGCAATCAAACGACATAGGTCCCTCGCTGTGGTTGTGCACTGGGGTTGGAACGCGAGTTGGGTCTTACGAAAGGCAAGAACCTGAAGTTCGCTGGGATCCGAACTTGGCGGAATGCCGTGGGAGAGACACAGTTGTCTATCAAACTCGCCTTTCCATTCTTTCTTGAAGTTCGGATTCCGGCGGACTTCACATTTTCACAGGTCCATTGCTGTGGTTGTGAACTGGGGTTGCAACTCGAGTTGGGTTTTACGAAAGGCAAGARCCTGAAGTTCGCYGGGATCCGTACTTSGCRAAATGTCGTGGGAGAGAAACAGTTGTCTGTCAAACTCGCCTTTCCATTCTTTCTTGAAGTTCGGATCCCGGCGTACTTCACATTTTGACAGGTCCACTGCTGTTGTTGTGCACTGGGGTTGCAACTCAAGTATGGTTTTACGAAAGGCAAGAACCTGAAGTTCGCCGGGATCCATACTTGGCGAAATGCCATGGGAAAAAAACAGTTGTCTGTCAAACTCGCCTTTCTATTCTTTCTTGAAGTTCGGATTCCAGCGGACTTCACATTTTCACAGGTCCACTGCTGTGGTTGTGCACTGGGGTGGCAACTCGAGTTGGGTTTTACGAAAGGCAAGAACCTGAAGTTCGTCGGGATCCGTACTTGGCGAAATGCGGTGGGAGAGAAACAGCTGTCTATCAAACTCGCCTTCCCCTCTTTCTTGAAGTTCGGATTCCAGCGGACTTCACATTTTCACAGGTCCACCGCTGTGGTTGCTCGCTGGGGTTGCACCGCGTGTTGGGTCTTGCGGAAGGCGTGAACCGGAGGTCCACCGGGATCCGAGCTTGGCGAGATTACGTGGGAAGACACAAATGTCTATCAAACTCGCCTTCCCGTGCTTTCTTGAAGTTCGGATCCCGGCGGACTTCACATTTTCACAGGTCCACCGTTGTCGTATGGTGGCTGCAAAACGTTCGTCGTTGGATGACTGACAAGGTTCGATGACCGACGAGGTTTGCCGTCCAGTGGCGTTCGATGTCCGCCAACATTTTGATGCCCGCCGAGGTTTGATGGGGCACCAGGTTCGATGCCAAACAAGGTTCGATGACCGACAAGGTTCGATTCGATGTGCAACAACGTCGTCACGAACTGTCTTTTGTCCATTCCCGAACAAGGATCGACCTTTTTCACGGGTTTCTACCGTGTGGTGGACCAATTGCCCTGCGTGCTGCGTACGACCAATGGACGAGGAGGCAGGTCGAATGCAGTGCAATCGGGGCGAGAAAAGTGAACCGCTCGGCTGGCATGTCGGTGCCCTGGTCGGCGACCGGCCGATCAATCAGCTAATTGGCCAACCACAAACCGAAAAGTCGATCAATCAACTAATCAATTACTTGTGTCAACGCTCTCCTGTCAACCAGTTGGCACAAGTAACTGATTAGTTGATTGATCGACTTTTCGGTTTACGGTTAGCCAATTAGCTGATTGATCGGTCGGTCGCCGACCAGGGCACCGACATGCCAGCCGAGCGGTTCACTTTTCTCGCCCCGATTGCACTGCATTCGACCTGCCTCCTCGTCCATCGCTCTCCTTTCAACCAGTTTGGTGGATCGGCCATATGCCTGCCGGTTGGGCGATCGCGCAGAGCGTGATGCCACGGTTGCAACGCAAACACACGTTCGGCTGTATGGTTGGTGGACTGTTGGATCAACCGGTCGTCCGACCGCAGTCCGAACAGTCGTTCAGTGATGTTGGTAGTGGTGGATCTATTGACCGGTCTACTGTTCGCTTGGGGTACATCAACGAGTGTGATGGATCGGTCGCTCGCCGCCAGGTTGGTCGTTCGCGCACGGTGCCACATGTGTTTTGTTATTACATTTGATACTGGCGAAAAACACACACGAGGTGACAACGTTGAGACATCACACGCGATCAATCGACCGATCGCGGACTCTCTGTTCCTGTTCGACGATTGGTCGACTAGGTGTGTCTGCTCTCCCGACAATGTCACCTCCTGCTTTGATTGATCATCCATTCGGCAGATCAGCGGCGGTATCGTGAGCAATCGTGATGGTCCTGTTTATCACTCACGTGCGGTATGGCCGATGTCACCACTCACGTGTGGATGATTGATCTGACGAGTGGAGAAGGATCCGATCTGCCGCGCGGTTATTATGTTTCGTGACCGGTCGCCTCGCGCTCGATCGAAGCTTTCATCATGCGTCAGTTACTCAGCTCATGAGAACTGCCCGATGAACGACCGATCAAAACACGCGGTGACAATGTCGAGAGTGATCTGATCGTGCTCCATCGATCTGGACTGCATATAATCAAGGAATAGTATCTACCTTGTGCTCTGGATTGTCTATAATCAATAATGAATACTATCAAATCAAGGAATGTTGTCTATCTACCCATCCATTATATCTCTGTCGCCGCGTGTTTCGATTAATCATCCTTTGGGAAGATCGACGGCTACTGCGTTGGGACAGCAAACAGGAACAATGGAATGTGGTCAGTGGTCAGGATGTGATGAACTGACAAATGTCGATAGCTCCGATCGAACGGGCTGTGGCCGGTCACGAAACATAATCACCCCGCTCTCGATCGGATGTTTCTCCATTCATTAGTTTTATACACAACAAGATCACATGAGATCCACACACAAACGCGTGGATCTTGTGTGCTCTTGTTGTGTATGAAAATGATGAATGGACAAACATCCGATCGAGCGCGGGGTATTTATGTTTCGTGACTGGCCACAGCGCGTTCAATCGGAGCTATCGGCATTCATCAGTTCATCACATCCTGACCACTGACCACACTCCATTGTTCCTGTTTGATGTTTGAATGTCGTAGCCCTCGACCTGCCCAAAGTATGATTGATC